GGCAAGGACACATTTTTCTACTTGTGATCTACCATAGACCTGAGCCAAACTTTTTCATGTAAGGCCCAGTATATTAAATGCATGGTATAATTGTTTTATTATGTAAATTTAAATTTAAAAAGTTAATAGACTACTGTCATTTTGATGAGCGCACATATATCAAATCAGAAGTTGCAGGTTTACATTATGAAAAATGTCAAATCACTATGATATACACCCGAGACTAACAGAATATTGTATGACAATTACACCTCATTTAAAAAAGTCAGAGGCTAAGGTTAACTTCGGCATCCATTCGTTTCTAGATGAAATTGCTCAGTATAGGGAAAATTTGAATTCACACACCACATAATTGTAAACATTAACAATACTGTAATATTTATCCCATTAGGTGCTCTGTTAGCAAATATTCATTTGAGGGATATTAACATAAAGTTGAATACTCCTCAATTAATGTCTGATCATATTTGATAGATGTTAACTATAGAATAGTTCATTATTTACATTTCTGCTCTCCACATTTTTGAAATATAAATACTTTAGAAAGAGTTTACTTTGATTTAATACTTTCTTGTTTTGTAGTTATTGGATTGTTCTTGGTTGAATGTCCTTAAACTTTGGGTCCTCTAGCATGAAGCTACCAGGTTGATTTCTTTTAACAATCACAGAAAATATTTCATTTAATAGGACAAATGTCACATTTGTCTTGCATGATTTGAGAGACCCAAAGAGCTTTATCTAGCTAGATACATTCAAGTAAAGGGAAGTTAATCTCACATTGTAAAATATTCCAGTGGCCTTATACAATAAAAAAGACATGGGATTTTTAAATNCTAGCTAGATACATTCAAGTAAAGGGAAGTTAATCTCACATTGTAAAATATTCCAGTGGCCTTATACAATAAAAAAGACATGGGATTTTTAAATGTCTTGAAACATTTTTCTGGAACTTCAGGAAGTTTTAAAAATCTGCTCCCATAAAAGCCAGTATCAGGAAAGTGCAATTAGAATTTTCTATTCACCTTAAATTAACTGTTACATTGAAGATTCATTTGAACAGCCATTATTATAAATGTCCACACTTGGCACAAAAAGCAAAATGTGGGAGATTCTGGTTAAATTTATAATTTTTTTTAAATCTGGGAATCTATAGAAAGAGCCAGTATATTTGCAGAATATGTTTGATTCATTATTATGCCTAGCATAGCTTCTGGTATTAGAGTAGATAATTTATTACAGATTTGCTGAAAGACAAAGGGTTACTTTTCCAAGTGTCAGGCCATGCAGCTGATTCGGGTGACGCTCCTTGGTCTTTGAAATCATACTAACTCCATAAACAATGGCTCTGGATGCACAGTGAAAGGTGCTATCTGTGCTCAGGGCTCCAGAGCCTGACAGGAAGGCTGTAGAGAGCAGAGGGGAAATGACCGTCACCGAAGCAGCTGGTGACCAGGTCTGTACTCGCCTACTTGACGTAGCTACGCTTTGCATCCAGATACCCTAGACCCAGGAAAATGCCAAAATTTGTGTGCTAAATGAGACAGTTCCAAGTCAGGTAATTTTGCAGAGGCACCAAACCTTATTTTTTTTTAAGTACAATGATTGGGAAGCAAGGAAGGAAACACAGCTGAGACCAATGGAGTGGGGTGTTTGGATAAATATTTACTTAATCCTACCGCCGCCTTCTTGCCACCCTTTTCAATGTTCGCCTACCTCTTCTCCACTACAACTCCCTCTCTTTCAACTTCCTTTTTCAAGTCCCTTTACTGACGCATATCTCAGATTCCAAAGCTTCTGCCTTATTTAGAACGTCTAAACCTCAGAGCTAGTAGGACATTCAATTACTGAATATTAACATCTGAGGCTTATTTGACTGATCTATGCACCTGACTCGGGGAAACTAAGAAAGTCAGTTATGGGCTAACACCACAGGAGAATTCCTTCATCTAGACAAGTCCTACATGCCAAGATCTATGCATCTTCCCCCTGTGCAAACAAACAGCTCTCCATGAACCTGTATGGTACCTCCAAGTTGAGGTCATTCCTTCTAACGGGTGTCCCTTCTAATAGGATGAATGTTAGGAAATCACATTTAACACGGACACTTGAGAATGATGTTGAAAACTTTCCCAAGTGCCCTCTAAGGTTTTGTGAGTGATTGTAAGACTATTAGAATTCCAAGAACGTGTTTGTAAATTGATTTAGTAACTGCCCACTTTCAAAAAGGATTTAAGACAACTCACAGTGAAAACCTAAGTAAAATAAGCCAAAACATTTAATAAAAGTCAGAAATGGGAATCAAAAGTTAAAGAGATGAGTGGTAACGAAATTGTTAAATTCTTTTGAGATAATGGAGCACAGAATATTTAGACTCTGTTGAGGCAAATGGAACACAAAACTTACTGGTGAATTTCTAGTCACCAAAGAGACCAAAGAGAAGAACACCATGGATGCTGTATCTCTCAGTTTCTAACTAAAGAGAACATACCAGTTCTTTAGGAACACCAGATATGTCTGACAATCAAATGACAACAAAAAAAGCCAACAGAAAAGTCAGAATTAAACCATCTATTGATAGATATCAACAATGCATGGAATGATTTACACACATTATCACACTTAATTGTGGGAAAGACCTGGGAAGTAGATATTACTAATTATTTCTGCAATAGAAAGGAACTGAATTTCCCCGGTAATTGACTCAACCAAAGTCACAACTAGTAAGTGACGGGAACCAGGACTTCAACTTATGCCTATCTGATTCCACAGCTCATATAAAACACTCGGAGTAATAATGAACGATGCCAAACCTCTATCTTATCTGCTTCATCCAACTCAAAGTGCATACCCACTCATGTGTGCACACACACATGCACACATGTGCACAATTTTTCCTTCTATAACCAGGCTGTACTCAGAAAGTATTACTGAGAAACTTCAGAAAAAGGTCAGAAATAGCACCTACAAACAGTGTTCCCACCCCAGCTACAATGATGGTAGAAATATGGTAGCAGTATCTCCCCCCTTTATGGGAAATATAAAATCTTTTTGTATATTGTTACAGCCAAAGCTTAAGAAACAAATAAGCATATCTAATTTGTTACTTGATTTAATGCCTTTACATTTTTCTCTCTATGGGGATGTCTGAGAGTTATGCTGAAACCACAATTGTGGGCTCCAAGGAGTACATGTAAGTCATATATGCAAGGAGGCCAGTGAACTGTTTGTTTGTTTCCTACTTTAAAGTGGCCCCATTTCAGAAAATAGTGTCCAAACCTAGCTTCTGACTCCCTTGTCAAAGAATCCAGTGTGAGAGTTCAGACGTGTAGAAGGGATCAGCGACCTAGATGGTTGGTTCCATGGAAGGAGCTGAATTGTTTGGGGTCCCAACAAAAAGCGGGAAAAGAGCCACCAGCCCATAAAGTCAGGAAGGGACAAGAACTTGGCAAGTTGTCCTTTTGGAGAGGTCTTCAGTCCAAGTTGGAAACCTGACGGGGGTGCAGTCATGTATAGGAAGGCTGGTACTTACAGATGCAGGGTTTCAGAGAAACGCCCAGGAAATCAGATAACGGGGAGGCACTTGTAGGTCTGAGCCAGGCAATACAGAAACTTCAGGACCAGAGTCAGTTCCTAGAGCTGTGAGGAGTGGGGTGAGCAGTGTCTGACAATTGGCACACTATTTATCAGTGACTTATGACAAATTTCAATATTGTAAAGGTACTTTTTCTCTGACCAAGAAACACAGATGGCTGAAGTGACTTGCACAAGTACCAACTTGTGGCAAACCCATGACCGGAACTCATGTTCTGTAGGTTGTCTTCTGAAACACCCTCGACTTGTTTCTGTGGGTGACAATAAAACAAAGGAAACAAGATCAGAAATAGTGGCTGTTACGTTTCACGTCTTTTTCTAATTGACCTTTTTGTATTAGATCAGCCTGACCAATTGCATCACACAGTGTTCCTGCAGAAACAGGATCCCTGTGGCTGCTTTAGGATTTAAAATAGAAAAATTTAAGATAGCGAGCTTGATCCAAAAAGGTAGGAAATCCTAAAATTGCATTATTAGGCCCTTATATAAGGCCTCTTCCCTGTACCTCAACTCACACTTAAATGGACATATTTTTATTGACAGAGGGAAGTCCTCATGGGAATTAAAATCTTACAAAATAGCTAAGACACATATAGAGAAGTAAGACTGGAGTGTCTTTGAGCCATTGCATACTGGGAATTTTATAAAATAACATAAAATTTTATTCAGTTTAAATTGAGTACCACTTGTCACAAGCAATTGTTTAATCTCTTCTGCAACGAATCAGTTGTCAAAACAGTAGCACTGTTAGAAGCGTTATGTATGCACTGTAAATTGTGGCACAGAGGCCATTTCTGAAAACGGAACTGTACTTTTATAATTCTTCCCTATTTTCAGTGCTTATCAGAATACTTAGTATTGATAATGTACCTACAAAATACAAATATTCCAAGTGTTGTTAGGTAAGAGCACTCTCTGGTATGACATTTACAAATACCGTAACTATTTCGGGACCATCCTCTTTACTAATTATACTATGATGTTTACCAATCCAAATTGAGTTGAGATTCCTTCAGAAGACTGTCTTTCTAGTTGTACCACCTTCCGTTAGTTGCGTTTTATTTATTGTCACATTGCATCATATCCGTGCACAGGGTGCCAGTTGCCTAACATAAGGCAGGGAATGAGACGCAGTGTGAAACGTCGTAGTCATTTCATTTTAATGAGACAGCATTTGTGTTGAGCCTGAGTGCCTGCAGTTAATGCAGAGAGCAAGTATTTAAGTTAAAATTCTGACATGTTTAACAAACCAAGTATCCTATCTATTTAGGGGAGGCGAGGTAGAAGCATTGTAAGGACTCTTGTGTGACAATTACTCTACTGCGGTTCTATGAGCAAGAAATATACTGTATTTCAGGTGGAAGTACTTTGTGCACTGGTAGTATGAAACTCTGCATTTTTTTCTTCAGGTCCTAAAGGGTTTCCCAGAATGTTTACAAGCTGACATTTGTCTGCATCTCAACCAGACTTTGCTGCAAAACTGCAAAGCCTTCCGGGGGGCAAGTAAAGGTTGCCTCCGAGCTTTAGCAATGAAGTTCAAGACGACCCATGCACCTCCGGGAGACACCCTGGTTCACTGTGGGGATGTCCTCACTGCACTTTATTTCTTATCCAGAGGCTCCATCGAAATCCTCAAAGATGACATTGTGGTAGCTATTCTGGGTGAGTGTTTTAACCTGAATGGTGACAAATTCAGTTATTAGCTGTTGCAGTGCATAGTTTAAATCCCCGGAAAAAAAATGACTGATCTGGGTATTTATGAGCACTACTTTAAGACTGACAGGTAATTTTAAAGCTTTACTTAAAATTCCATTCAAATCATATTAACCTCGAAGAAAATATGTTTTCTTGACTCTCACTTTTTCTTAAATGTGTAAACGCTTCCATGACGCTTCAGTTCTTGGCAGCTACTTACGCATTTGAGGCCAAATACATAAAGATAGTCAGCATTTTCCTTTCATGTTAGAGGATCTTGGATTCATGCTTGATCTCTTAACACTTTAAATAAAATGTATACATTGTTAGCATACTTGCTGTGCCAGTGCCCCGTCATGAACTCAGTGTATGTTTTGATAAATTTCATTTATTTGCCATGTACTTTTACCTGCTGTGTCCCATCAAATGGAATTACTTGAGTCCTTACCTAGGTAATACAGAGCTATGAACATAACACCCAGGGATAAAGGGGATGAGATTGAAATCTGTAATAAATTTGTTTGGGTGCCAAAGAAAGTCCATCTGTCCAATCTGTCCCTTCAAAAATAAATTTAGTCAGTGTGAACGTGCAGGATTTGTTTGGAATATTAGGACAATGGGGAAGAACAAGAGAGGAGAGAGCAACAGGATCAGTTCTTTCCTACCACCTGGCCAGTAGATTTAAGCCTCAGTCTCCCCCCGAGAACACCTATCCTCAATGTCTGTGAACTCCTGCACATCTTTTTGTTTCCTGGGGATTAAATCCAAGTCCATTTAAATAGCAAACATGTAATTCAATGATTTCCTTTCACTGGGCTCCAGATGGTAACATCCCAAAGGACAAGGACATACATGCCTGGTTTCTTTGCTGCTGTGGGGACCCAGACGATGATACAGCACAGGATCCAGTACATGAACAAAGATGTTTGAGTAATCCCTATATATTTTGATAATTTTATTATGCAGATAGTTTTTTTATAATTTTCAAGATTTACAAGATGTGCAAGTTAGTTTACAATCAGTAAGAAGGCAAAGAATAAAGACGTATTCTACATCACTTAGCGGTTACACAATAAAGTTGGATTTTCACCATATTTAGCCTTAGTACTCTGGTCTATTGCGAGGGCCAAAGCATTCTGCATTGCATTCTGGTCTTCAAATCAGCCAGCCCTTGCTTCTACAGGAAGGGAACAAGCCTTCTAGCTTTATAAAATGGTAATTCTGGAGTGTAGTTAAGCTCTACACAGTGACTTGCCTACTTTTTGTTCATGTACAGTCACATCAGCTAATTAAAATACAAAGCCCATGCTGAATTAGGTCTGAACTTCTCTTCGCTAATATCTATGCTGAAGTATTAACTGTAAAGTGTTTCAAGAGATTCCCCTTTACCATCCTCATTTTCATGTAAATCCCACCTGAAATCCTCACAAATTTGTGAAATCCTCACAAATTACGATTATTCATTCTATTTTTAAAGCTATTTATTTAGTTAGTATATTCTCTCCACTATCAATTTTTCTTATAAAGGTACAGTATCTGATTTCTCCCCATGAAATTCACATTTAAAATAAAACATTACAGCACTTTTCTTGACTAGTTAGAACTTATTGTTTACAAGTCTTTGATAATTTCCGTAGTTTGAACTTGTCTACCAAGAACTAATTTAACAGATCTAAGGAATTTTTTCTAAATCTGAAAAGAAGCTTCAGAATGTATGTAAGAAAGTACAATTTCACACTGCCACTCATGATCTTTGAAAGTTATACAATCAATAATCTTTCGGTAATTATTCAGCATGTACTACACGGGTAGAATTTTTAAGAGTCTCAATATTCAGAGACAGAAATATCTAAGTGGCCGTAACATCCAAGGAAAATATTGAGAGGAGATTAAATACATCAGGTGTAAAGATTTTTACTTGAGTCAGAATTCACTGGATTTAATCAAAGCTACTCACTTCCTCTCTTCACTTCACCCAACTAGGAAGGTAACCTTGACCTAATCAGTTTGCCTTTTTAATCCTCTTTCCATATTCATAAAATTTGGATATAATTAATAAGTTCTTCATGAGGCTATTTTAGGTATTAAATGAGATAATGCACCTAAGCACTGATACAATGCCTAGCGTGTTCTTAGTCCTCAGTAAGACTCTCATTATCCTCATCATTGAACAAGGCCTGGAACAGCAGGTGGCATGTGGCTAAGTAGAGGGGATTGGGGGGCAGGAGGGAGAGGTGCCCATCAGAAGCCAGACACTGAAATGACCCCAGGTTTGGGAAGAAAACAACAAGGACACACTTTTAGAATAAAGCCCATATGACAAAAAAGCATGACTACGTATGTTACACTACAACTAGATTTATTAAACAGTTGCGCAAATCCATTAAGGACAAATCCAAAAGGAGTTACTAAAGAAAACAGAGTATGTTCAAATTGTACCCCGGGTCCCCTAAGTGTTGGAAGTGGTCCACCAGGCCCCCATGCCTGTCATCTCCTCCGGGGACCATCCTCAGGCAGAAAGTTTGTGGATCTGACTCCCTGCAGCCTTTCTCAATATTCCTGCATTGACAAAATTAGAGCATATCTATTATGTGGCAAGACCCTTTTCTAGCAATGTGGGGTATAGCTGACTTAAACCATGGTTGCTGCATTCTGGACACATAAAAAGAAAGAAAACTTAAGTTCAGATTCCTTTTACATCCTCATTTTTTTTCTTTCTTTTTTTTTCTCTTAGGAAAAAATGATATATTTGGAGAAATGGTTCATCTTTATGCCAAACCTGGGAAATCAAATGCAGACGTAAGAGCTCTCACGTACTGTGACTTGCATAAGATCCAGAGAGAAGACTTGTTAGAGGTTTTGGACATGTATCCTGAGTTTTCAGATCACTTTCTCACAAATTTAGAGTTGACTTTCAACCTAAGGCATGAGAGTGCAAAGGTATATGTTAACCCCTTGCTTATTTTTTTAATACATTTTTTTATTAAGGTATCCTTGATATACACTCTCATAAAGGTTTCACAAGAAAAACAATGTTATTACATTCCCCCTTGCTTAGTTTTATACTTCTGATATTTCTCTGAAAGATCAAGCAAAATAATGCAGCAAAACTTTACCAATTTTGAATATTTGGAAGGAAAAACCCACTTAATACCAGAACTTCTAAATTATAGAGAGGAAATTTAGTCTAATGACTTAAATATATTGAATAACAATTAAATTTGACCTTTTTAGGAACTCTTAGGTGACATACTTGTTTTAAAAAATTGCCTTGGTTTATACTTAGTGTGCCAATTATTTGTAAGATATGGGTGATTCTAGGCTATTGAAAATCCCCTAAAAGAGTTTATCTTACATAGAGGTTGAAATATTCCCTCAGCTATTATTTACACCATACTTCGGGTAGCATTCTTTTCAATAATAATGAAAAAATTAAACTCAGTCAAGTTAATATATTTGTCCATATTTAACACAATTTCTAAATCACAGAAAGATAAATTGATCAGGCTTATACCTGAGTCAAAATTAGTGCTGTAGAATGAATAACATATGGTCTGCTAGAAATATTGTTTTAACTGATTCTACATATAATTTGGCTTACAATGAATTTTGAGTTTGTAGCACTATACTCTTCACTCTCTTCTGCTAGGAAAATATGTCCTTATGACCTGCCTCTATTCTAAGAATATAGAACTTAGGCTGCAGCCCACAATTTATTACTTGTTTATTTCTCCATTTCCTTGCCCCCCAAAAACCAGAACCCCAACTCCAATTCTAAATATTTTTTCTCATAAATCAAATGTTGAGCTTTT